AAATGGAGCTGGAGGAATCAGTCTCCCTGACTTCAGACTATACTACAAAGCTACAGTAATCAAGACAGTATGGTACTGGCATTAAAACGGAAATACAGATCAATGGAACAGGATAGAAAGCCCAGAGATAAACCCACACACATATGGTCACCTTATCTTTGATAAAGGAGGCAAGAATATACAATGGAGAAACGACAGCCTCTTCAATAAGTGGTGCTGGGAAAACCGGACAGCTACATGAAAAAGAATGAAATTAGAACACTTCCTAACATCATACACAAAAATAAACTCAAAATGGATTAAAGACCTAAATGTAAAGCCAGAGATTATAAAACTCTTAAAGGAAAACATAGGAAGAACACTCAATGACGTAAAACACAGCAATATCCTTTTTGACCCATATCATAGAGAAATGGAAATAAAAACAAAAATAAACAAATGGGACCTAATGAAACTTCAAAGCTTTTGCACAGCAAAGGAAACCATAAACAAGACCAAAAGACAACCCTCAGAATGGGAGAAAATATTTGCAAATGAAGCAACTGACAAAGGATTAATCTCCAAAATTTACAGGCAGCACATGCAGCTCAATATCAAAAAAACAAACAACCCAATCCCAAATGGGCAGAAGACCTAAACAGACATTTCTCCAAAGAAGATATACAGATTGCCAACAAACACATGAAAGGTTGCTCAACATCACTAATCATGAGAGAAATGCAAATCAAAACTACAATGAGATATCATCTCACACCAGTCAGAATGGCCATGATCAAAATATCTACAAACAATAAATGCTGGAGAGGGTGTGGTGAAAAGGGAACCCTGTTGCACTGTTGGTGGGAATATAAATTGATACAGCCACTATGGAGAACAGCATGGTGGTTCCCTAGAAAACTAAAAATAGAACTACCATATGACCCAGCAATCTCACTACTGAGCATACACCCCGAGAAAACCATAATTCAAAGAGTCATGTACCACAATGCTCATTGCAGCTGTATTTACAATAGCCAGGACATGGAAGCAACCTAAGTGTCCACTGACGGATGATAGAAGGTGTGGCACATATATAAAATGGAATATTACTCAGCCATAAAAAGAAACGAAATTGAGTTATTTGTAATGAAGTAGGTGGACATAGAGTCTGTCATACCAAGTGAAGTAAGTCAGAAAGAGAAAAACGAATACCGTAGGCTAACACATATATATGGAATCTAAGAAAAAAAAAAAAGGTTCTGAAGAACCTAGGGGCAGGACAGGAATAAAGACGCAGACGTAGAGAATGGACTTGAGGACACGGGGAGGAGGAAGGGTAAGCTGGTATGAAGTGAGAGAGTAGCATTGACATATATACAGTACCAAATGTAAAACAGCTAGTGGGAAGCAGCTGCGTCACACTGCACGGGGAGATCAGCTTGTTGCTTTGTGACCAACTAGAGGGGTGGGATAGGGAACGTGGAAGGGAGATGCAAGAGGGAGGGGATATGGGGATATATGTATACATATAGCTGATTCACTTTGTTATACAGCAGAAACTAACACAACATTGTAAAGCAATTATACTCCTAGAAAGATGTTCAAAAAAAAAGATTGAGGCTAAAATGAAGTATTTACAGACAAACACCACCTGAGGTAGTTTACCAACAAGAGACTATCACTAAAGGAACTTTAAAGGATGTAGTTTAGGAAGAAAGAAAAACGCTCCCCAAAGGATGGTCTGCAATGCAAAAAGGAATGATGAGCAAATAAAATTGTAAACATTTATGTAAATCGAAACAAAAATGGTCATGTATTTTAAGAATAATTTCAAATTTGTGGATTTAAAACAGGACAGAATGAAAGTGCTGGGCAAGAATAATATGCAAGTCAAGACTGGGATCTAACTTGATGTTCCAATGTCTTTGTATTCTTTGGGAGTGGGATTAACATACTGTTTCACTTTAGTATATGTCAAGTTAAATATGCATGACAAAATTTCAAGGTAACCACCTAAAAATTAGAAATAGAGTGCTGAAATTCTAATTTACCTGGGGGTGGGGGGATGGAACAAAAATGAAGGAAAATCAATTAAAATATGGAATAAATATTTAAAAAAGCAAGATGATAGAAATCATCAAAATAAATATTAATGGACTAACCTTGCCCATTAAAAGATAGCAATCATCAGAGTGCATTACAAAATGAAAAACCCAAATTTGGAAATGTTTGTAAGACACACTCTACAGCATACAGGCACAGAATGGTTAGAAATGAGGGAAGAAGACATGCTAGGAAATACTAAAGTTGGAATAACTATATTAATATAAAATAGGTTTCAAGTAGAAAGTATATTAAGGATAGACATGGTTACCAGGCACTTCTATGCTCCTAATAAAACAGCTTTGAATATATAAAACCCAAAGTGAGAGATCTATAAGTAGAAATAGAAAAACTCTACCATGATAATTGGAATATTTCGACAATTACTGATAGGTCAAACAGACAAGAAATTAGTCAATATATAGAATATTTGAACAAAAAAAATAACCTCAAGCAATCATATAGAGAATTCTGCATGCAACAATTAAAGAATAAACAGTCTTCTTACGTACACATGGACCACTTACAAAAATGATTAAAGTGCTATGCCATAAAGCAAGTCTCAACAAACCTCAAAGAAATGGTGTCATACAGACCACATTCTCTGACCCCAATGCAATTAAGTTAGAAGTAAAACATAAAAAGATATACAGGAAATCCTCTTAAATGTGGTACATAAAAACATTTCTAAATAACTTGTGGGTCAATGAAAAATATAACACTAGAAATTCAAAAATACTTAGAATTGAATCACAATAAAAATGCTTCATATCATAACTGGTGGGATACTGATAAAACAGTACTTAGAGAGGTAGAGTTTAACCTTAAAAGCATATATTAGAGATGAAGAAAGACTGGAATAAATGAACTAAGTGTTGAATTTTAAAAGTTAGATAAAACCAATAGAAAGTAGAAGGAAGGAGAAAATAAAAATTAGGTCATAAAACAATAAAATAGAAAATAAATATACAATGGAGAGAATTAACAGAACCCAAAGTGGGTTTTTGAACAAACCTCTGGTAAGTTGATCAAGAGAAAAAAGACAAGGCACAAATAAATATTAGGAATAAAGGGTACATAATTACAGAGACAGCAGAAAATAAAAAGGTAAGTGGACACTAAGAAGAAGCTTACTAGAATAATTTTAAAAACTTAAGATTTTTTCAGAAAAATGTAATTTACCAGAACTCACTCAAGATATAGAAAGGCTGAATAGCCTTATGAATGTTAAAGAAATTGAAACAGTGGTAAAAAAAAAAAAATCTTCCTTGAAAGAAACCAAACACAAAACATCAGCCCCTGACAGTTTTATAGGCAAGTTCTACTAAACTTACAGGCTACAAATCATTCCAGTATTATACAATATTCAGAGAACTCATGAAGAGAGGTTCTCCAAGTCATTTTATGAGGCCAATGTAACTTTGAAACTAACATCAGACAGAGAGACACAGGAAGGAAAATTAACTACAGGCCAGTCTCGTTCCTAATTGCAACCACAAAAATCTTAAACAAAATAATAGCACATAGAATCAAGCAGTCCATACCAAAAGATAATACACAATGACTAAGTTGGGTTTATCTGAAAAATGCCAGAAGGGGGGTGGTTATCATTAGGATGTCTTTAAAAGTCATCCACCACATTAATAGGTAAAAAGAAAATAAATCATCTCAGCAGATGCAGAAGAAGCATTTGATAAAATTCAAAACCCAATCATAATTAAAATGTCCAGCAACTAAATATAAGAAAACTTCTTCAGCCCTAATAAAAGGTATCTACTAAAAATCTATAGTAAATATTCTTCTTCATGGGGAAACATTGGAAAGCTACCTTTTAAAAACAAGAATAGGACAAGGATGTTCACTATACCACTTCTATTAAAGACAGCAAGTTTTTGCCAGTACGGTAAGATAAGAAAAAGAGATTAAAGAAATAATGGTGTTGTGACTTTACTGAATTTATAGCAAGTTATTAAAAATAATAAACAAAAAATTCATACAGGAATTTAAAACCAAACGTTCTCCTGTGTGAGTGCTATCCACTCATGAAACCTACAGATTCCTCTGAAGGCAGCAGTAATGCCAGACAGAGCAGTCATCTCTAAAGAGGACAAGAAGGCACTAAAAGGCTTATGGTGTTACCTCTTGCTCTCCAGGGTTAAGGAAAGAGGTGTTAAGTACAAAAATAACACGATCTCAAAGAAAGGAAGTCTAATTTTTGGACGGGAGAATCATTTTTGGATCAGGCTCTAAATACTAATGCATATAACTCAGTCCTTTCAAAGAGGAGCCTAAACCTACATGTCTAAATCCCATCCACCTGAGGGTTAACAACAGTTCCACTTTCTCAAAAAAATCATTCTTTGTCTACTTTGGTCCCTTCTCAGAATGACTGCACTTATTGTAGCAGGTATTAAGAAGTTAATCACAGATTTGATATCTCTTATTTTACCATTTAAATTTTATATTGTTATTTATCAAATTCTAATTTCCTAATTTATAAATAGTATATCTCATTCCTGAATGAATGAGAGAGCAATTCTTCAACTGTCATTTAACTTTGCAAATATCTATCTGTCTATCTTGTATCCCAGTACAGATGTCTTCCACATATCCTGAGGCCTGATATGATAATACTTTATCTCCAATGGCCTCTAATAAAGTCAGGATCTAAAGAGTGACTCAGAGACGCTCCTGCAACAAAACTATAATATACCCTCCCTTGAGTATCTACAGATTGGAGCATGTGGAGATGAATAAAAGTGAATGGAGGCCAACAGTGATTAAAACCAAAGACAGATAACTTAAATAAATCATTTATATAAAACATAAATGAAACTGATCATTTATATGGATCATAAAACACTAGGCTACAGGAAAAAAATTAAGGAAGGAAAGAAAGAATTATATATGGAACTTACCTTGCCTATGAATCATGCCCCCATGCATGATTCTTGCAACAATACAGTGATTTAGCTCATTCATTTTTAAAGTGATTCCCTGTAAAAAGTTAAGGAAAAACAGAATTACTATAAGAGGGCACTTTTTATATTTGTGATTTTGCTGTAGATAACCTTAATTACAAAAGTTAGGAAAACATTAAAGAAAATACGGAAAATGAAGGAGAAAACTCTATGATGCCACGACAGAAATATTAATTTTGATATTTTGATTAGTGTAATAATAGTACACATACATTTTGTATAATGCTTTTTAATCCTATAATTATTTTCCATGTTGCTAATAATTTAAAACTTTTTTATCGATGTATAATTGACATATGCTTATGTAAAGTGTACAATTTGACAAGTTTGATACATGTATACATGTGTGAAACCATCACCACAATCAGGATAATGAATATATCCATCACTCCCAAAAGTTTTCTCATGCCCACTGGTAATCTACTTACACCCCTCCATGCCCTGCTCCCCCACCTCAACATCCCTAAGCAACCATTGATATGTTTTCACTGGCTATAGATTAGTTTTCACTTTCTATAAATGAACTCATACAGTATGAACTCTTTTATGTTGCTTTTTTTACACTCACAACGTGAAATTCAACTACATCATTGCATGTATCAATAGTTCATTCTTTGTTCTTGCTGAATATTCCACTGTATGGATATACCATTTTGTTTATCCATTCATCCACTGAATTGCTTCTAGCTTTTGTCTCTTATAAATAAAGCTGTATTAATGGATTAGTCTCCACTTGGCCATGATGTATTTTTCCTTTTCTAAGATATGCATTTGTTTAGAATTTTTGCATCTATACTCACAAGGGTTACTGGTCTGCAGTTTTCTTTTCTTGCAAAATATCTGTTTTGGGTATCAGGGTAATGCTAGCTGCCTCTTCCTCCTTCTCCTTCTCATCAAAAATAGTAAGTTGGGAAGAATTCCTTCCTTTTCAATGTTTTGGGAAGAGTTTGTATACAAATTAGTACCGTTTATTACATGTTTGGTAGAATTTACCACTAAAGCCATCTTGGCCTGGAGTTTTCTTTGAGGGATTTTTTTTTTTAACCTAAATTCAATTTTTAAATAGTATAGGGCAATTCAGTTTATTCCTTTTTAAGTGAGCTTCGGTAGTTTCTGTCTCCCAGTGAATTTGTCTATTTCATTTAGGTTGTTGAATTTATTGACATAAAGTTGTTTACCATATTTCCTTATTATTCTTTTTATATCTGTAGAATCTGTAGTAATGTCACTTCTCTTATGAATGATACAGGTAATTAGTGTCTTATTTTTCCTTGACTGATCTGATCTTGTCAAAGGAAAAGTTTTATTGATTTTTCTATTGTTTTTATTTTCTATTTCATTGATTTCCACTTTGATCTTTATTATTTCTTTCCTTTTACCCACTTTGGGTTTAATTTGCTCTTTTTGTTCTACTTTCTTAAGGTAGAAGCTGAGGTCATTGTTTTATTTCTTCTTTTTAACATTGGTGTTTAGTGCTACACATTTCTCCCTAAGTACTGCTTTAGCAGTATCCCACAAGTTCTGGTATGTTGTGGTTTCATTTTCATTCACTTCAAAATACTTAAAAATTTCCCTTTTGATTTCTTCTTTCATCCATGGGTTATTTAGAATTGGATAATTTAGTTTTCAAGTGCTTGGGGATCTTCCCAGACATCTTTCTGTTATTCATTTCTAATTTAATTCCATTGTGGTCTGAGAATATACTTTGATATTAATAGAGTCACTCCAGCTTCCTTTTGATTAATGTCATCATCATAGTATACCTTTTCCCATCCTTTTCCTTTGAAAAGATTTGTCTTCATGTATAAAGCATTTCTTGCAGGCAGTATATAATTCAGTTTTGCTTCCTCCCCGCACACCAACCTGACAACCTCTGCTTTTTAATTTGGGGAATTTAGACTATTTACATTTAATGTGATTACTGATACAGTCAGGTATAAATATATCTTCTTGCTATTTGATTTCTACTTGTCCCATCTGTCCTATGTTCCCCTTTTCCTGCCTTCTTTTGGATTTATTTTCATACTATTTTTCTCTCCTGTTTTCTTATTAGCTATAATTGTTTTGTTGTTTTAGTGGTTGCTTTAGGGTTTATAGCATACATCTTTAACTTATCAGTCTACCTTCAAGTGATATTATACCATGTCATGTACAGTATAAGAACCTTATAACATTATACTTCCACTTCCTTCCTCCTGACCTTTGTGCTGTCATACGTTTTACTTTTACATGTTAAAAAACCCCAAACAGGGCTTCCCTGGTGGCACAGTGGTTGAGAGTCCGCCTGCCGATGCAGGGGCCACGGGTTCGTGCCCCGGTCCGGGAAGATGCCACGGAGCGGCTGGACCCATGAGCCATGGACGCTGAGCCTGCGTATCCGGAGCCTGTGCTCTGCAGCGGGAGAGGCCACAACAGTGAGAGGCCCGCGTACCACAAAACAAACAAACAAACAAAAAACCCAAACACATTGCTATTATTTTTGTTTAGACTTCCATTTATCTTTGAGAGAGATTTAAATGATAAGGATGTCCTTTAACATTTCATATACTGTAAGTCTACTGAATTATTTCAGTTTTGATATGTCTGAAAATGTTTTTATTTTACCTTTATTTTTTGATAGATACCTTTGCTGGGTTTAGAATTCTAACCTGAGAGGTTTTTTTTTTCCCTTTCAGTACTTTAAGTCATTGTTCTTCTTCTTCTTCTTTTTTTTTTTTTTTTTTTTTGCGGTATGTGGGCCTCTTACTGTTATGGCCTCTCCCGTTGCGGAGCACAGGCTCCAGATGCGCAGGCTCAGTGGCCATGGCTCATGGGCCCAGCCGCTCCGTGGCATGTGGGATCTTCCCGGACTGGGGCACAAATCCACGTCCCCTGCATCAGCAGGCGGACTCTCAACCAGTGCGCCACCAGGGAAGCCCCCATTGTTCTTCTTAATTGTACTGTTTCTCATAAGAAATCTGATATCATTCTTATCTTTGTTCCCCTGTATGCAACATTTCTTTTTTATCTCTGTTTTTAAGACCTATTTATCATAGGTTCTAAGCAGTTTGATTATGAGGTACCTTGGTATTGTTTTCCTCATGTTTCTTGTGCTTGGGGTTCATTGTGATTCTTGCATCTGTGGATTTATAGTTTTCATCAAGTTTGGAATGTTTTCAGTCATTATTTCTTCAAATATATTTCCTGTTTCTTCTTCACTGTCTTCTCCTTCATAGACTCCAAGTAACCAAATATTAGGCTGCTTGAAGTTGTCCCATAGCTCAGTAATATTCTTTTCATTTCTTAAAATTCTTTTTCTTTCTGTGTTTTGTTTTGGATAGTTTCTATTGCTATGTCCTTTGAGTTCACTAATCTATTCTTCTGAAATGTTTAATCTGCCATTTATCCCATAGTGCAATTTTTCTGCTAATTCTAATATCTTTGTCAGTTGCATGTCCGTTTTGATTGATTATTCTCCACATTATAGGTCACATTTTCCTGCCTCTTTACATGCTTAGCAATGTTTGATTAGATTGCAGACATTGTGAATTTTATCTTATTGCATGCTAGATTTTTTTTTTTTTTTTTTTGCAGTACGTGGGCCTCTCACTGCTGTGGCCTCTCCTGTTGCGGAGCACAGGCTCTGGACATGCAGGCTCAGTGGCCATGGCTCACGGGTCCAGCTGCTCCACGGCATGTGGGATCTTCCTGGACCGGGGCACGAACCCGTGGCCCCTGCATCGGCAGGCGGACTCTCAACCACTGTGCCACCGGTGAATCCCTAGATTTTTTTCTTGTAAATATTCTTAAGCTTTGTCCTGGGATGTAGTTCAGTTACTTGGAAATAGTTTGATCCTTTGGGTCTTGCTTTCATGATTTGTTAAGGCAGGTCTGGGGCAATTCTCTATCTAGGGCTACTTATTCCTCATTACTGAGGCAAGACCTTCCTAAGCACTCTACTCAATGCCCCTTGAATTGGTTTTTCTAGTCTGGCTGGTGGGAACAGGCAGTGAGTGTTGGGCACTGTTCCCTCTCATCCTTTTGGATGGTCTTTCCTTGGCTCCGGGTAGGTTCCTTTCATAAATGTGCTGATCATTATTCAGATGAATACCTGAGGGGGACCCTCTATAGATCTCTAGGGTTCTCTCTTTGTGCAGCTCTCTCCTCTTCAGTACTCTGTCCTATGAACTTTAGTTCTTTGGTCTTCCCAGGCCCTCAGCTCTGTCTCTTCAGGGAGTCTGCCTGCTCTGCCTCAGTTCCCCCTCACTGTGTTGTGACTTGGAAACTCTCGCATGTCAGTAAGGTGGGGCAATCACAGTGCTCACCTTATTTGCTTACTGTTTCTTAGGAATCACTGTCCTTTGCTGCCTGATGTCCAATGTCTTGAAAACTGTTACTTCATTTTGTGTGTTTAAAATTTGTTTTGGTTGTTTCAGGTGAGAGGGTAAATCTGTTCCTGTTACTCCACCTTGGTTGGAAGTGGAAGCTCTATATACTTAATGCCAGAATACTATTCTATGGAATAGATTACTTTTACTTTCCAAATATTCACCATTATATGAGAAGCTTTCATAAACATGTTTTTGCACTAGACTTGGTTGATTCTAAGAGTCACATGGGGACCTTTTAAATAATATTAACTTTATTTATTTATTTTATATTTTATTTATTTATTTTTGGCTACATTGGATCTTTGTTGCTGCACGTGGGCTTTCTCTAGTTGCTGCAAGCGGGGGCTACTCTTCGTTGTGGTGCACGTGCTTCTCATTGAGGTGGCTTCTCTTGTTGTGGAGCATGGGCTCTAGGCACACGGGCTTCAGCAGTTGTGGCATGCGGGCTCAGTGGTTGTGGCTCGCAGGCTCTAGAGCACAGGCTCAGTAGTTGCGGCACATGGGCTTAGTTGCTCCGTGGCATGTGGGCTCTTCCCAGACCAGGGCTTGAACCCATGTCCCCTGCAGTGGCAGGCAGATTCTTCCCACTGTGCCACAAGGGAAGTCCAATATTGAGTTTTAAACTCACTCTTTGGATTTAGATTCAGGAAGTGTGGAATAGAGCCCAGATCTGTATTTTTAACAAGCTCTCTTGCTGAAAACTGGTCTTGAATTTGAGATGATTAGGAGTAGGGGGACTCTGTCTTATCTTCTTCATTGGAAAATAACATTCTGTTAGAAAGTTCCATGAAAATATTTGAGACGTTATAATCTAGACCCTATCTGAATTTGTACAGTTCTATAAAATATAACTTTGCATGGTTCCTATTTTGTGGTTCTTAGATGTGGTAGGCAAGCAATTTAAAAAACTGGTTTATCAAATGTTTCTAGTCCCACATTCAACTGTATTGTTCAAGTATCATTTCCAACTTGTACATTCAATCAGCATCTATGGTTACCAAGAGAAGGTGTTCCTGGAAAAATGTTGTAAATTAATGTGTAAGTCAAATCTAATTTCAGAAGGGAAATGATAGTATGATGGGGGTTCCATCCTTGAAATTAATAAATTAACGTATTCATTCAACCAATATTACTCTGAACCTGTTATATGGCAGACACTCTGCTAGACACAGTAGTGAATGAGATAGACAGGGTCTCTCATGGCTAGGGAAAGTTCACTTCAAACCAACTGGAGTTAATATTTATTATTTTGTCTACTTCAAACATTTCTCTGCAGGGAGGAATTGATTCATGTTTTCTCTGTTCATAAGTTCCCAAATTCCAGGGAAAGGATTTGGCCCAGTTACTGCTGAACTTACCCCAGCTTGGGGTAAACTCCTGGCTTTTCCTTGTTTACATAAGCCTCTCCCCTGTTGTCTAAGCTATTTTAAGTTTGGTCTTTAACACCTGCAACTATGGGAGTACCAATCAAGAGAAATAATTATAAGTGAGATATTAAAAATGGGAAAACAAGGGTGTAATGGGAGTATAACACCCTTGGGAGATGGACCCAGCATACATAGTTGGATACATTGTAGAAGGTCCAAAAAGCAAAAGAGATCATACAGGTATATCCTGCACGGTAATATAATGTTTTTAACAGGACAAATAAGCAAGCAAATGAAGCTGTATTAAATGTAACAGAAAACTATATTATTGAAAATATATTTCACATAAAAATAATTTCTGTTTTTATGGCAACCAATTAAAAGAAGAAATACACACCTTCACTAGGATCACAGAAGATGGAGGACAGGAGGGCTTCTTTAAGGAGACTTTTAGGGAAGAGTCAAGGCCATTTTGTGCTTTCTGAAAAATGTAACTCAGGGGTGCAGTTTTACGCTTTTACTCAGTCTATGTTTCTATGTAGTTAACCATACAGAAGATCAAGCAACTGTCATTGGATTGCTTTAGAATATGACGATCACAAGACATTTCTGGGCCTCCTTCTTGTGGTCACTTCCACTTTCCTGTCTGCTCTGATTGGCTGAACATCACCCCTCCTCCTGCTTCTCTGACGCAGCCTTCTCTCCGCTATAGCTCTGTCATAACTGCACCCGTTAAACAAACTGTGCTAACGTGCATGTTTACTTGTTTAATGTAGGTATTCCCTGGTGGTCCAATGGTTAAGACTCCACACCTCCAGTGCAGGGGGCACAGGTTCGATCGCTGGTCGGGGAACTAAGATCCCGCATGCCCCACAGCGTGGCCCCCACTCCAAAAAAAAAAAAAAAAGTAGGTAGCCTTGTGGAAACTGAGTTCCAGGAAGGGGCCATGTCTTATCTGCCACTACATCATTGGCGTACAGTGATCTGCACATAGTATAGGCACTTAAAAAAATGTGCTAAATGAGTGAATGAATATATAAAATGGGGCTTCCCTGGTGGCACAGTGGTTGGGAGTCCGCCTGCCGATGCGGGGCACACGGGTTCGTGCCCCGGTCCGGGAGGATCCCACATGCCACGGAGCGGCTGGGCTCGTGGGCCATGGCCGCTGAGCCTGTGCGTCCGGAGCCTGTGCTCCGCAACGGGAGGGGCCACGGCAGTGAGGGGCCCGCGTAACGCCAAAAAAAAAAAAAAAAAAATAAATATATATATATATATATATATATATATATATATACACACACATATATATATATATATATATATAAAATGAATGAGGGGAATATTTATTAGACTTTCAGAGCTGGGTGGGATTTTGGGGATCGTGTAGTCAAGCACACTTTTGGTAATACTTGCTAAGCAAAGTATGAGCAAAACGAGGCCCACTGACATGAAGTGATTTGCCCGAGGTACCCAAAAGTTGCTACTGCCCGCACTCTTTTAAGTCAAAGAGTTGCTTGGAGAGCACCAGATTGGTGAGGTGATTTGCATGTCCCCTGTCTGCTGTAAGTCCTGAGATAATATAGTATAACTGGCAAAGAACAGTAAATGAGAATTACAACCCGAATGTCTAGAGTTGAGGGCTTTCTGGAAATTGCAATCATAGGATCACTGCTCTGTAACTCTTCCTATAACTTGGAAAGCAACTGGGCAATTTTCTTAAGTAATTTGTTTTCCTATATCCCAATATCCCTTTTCTATGCTCTGAGGAAAACATATGAATGCATACGTTTGAATGTTTTCCTTTTCCCTAAAGAAATGATTTCTCCTAAAACTTGGGACTTTCCCAATATCCCCTGTCTCAGTAGGCAGCATCATTGTCCATCTGGCTGTGAAAAGCCTAAAGCTTAGGGTCATCCTCAATACTTGCTTCTCCCTCAGTCCCCAATGTCAATCCATTATCAAGGTCTTTTGTTAAATCTATTCACTTCTTTCCATTTGACATCCATCCCTCTAGTTGAGTTCCATCATCTCTCCCCGTATTACTGTAATAACAGTCTCTTAACTGGTCTCCCTATATCCACTCTTGTCCCCCCCTCTAATCCATTCTCCAGAGTAATTATTTCTAAAATGAAAATCTGATCTTATCTCCCTGCTTGAAACTCTTCAATAGCCTCCCACTGTTTTTAAGACAAAAAACAGAATCAACACTTGTGAGGTCCTGTTCCTGCCGTACACCTTGTTTTCTACAGTCCAGCTGTGGTGCCTTCCTTCCATTTTAAAAACTATGCTAAGAGCCTTTTCACTAGCAGGTTTCTGCATATGCTACTTGGTTTGCCTGGATGGTCTCTACTCTCCCTGCCCCCTCTGTTCAGTTAACATCAAGGAGCCTCTCCTTGATCTTCCCAACCTATGAAGATTCTATGAGAATGAGGCAGGGTTCAGCATCATTCTATTCCAATGCTACACCTAAGTACTGAGAAAACAAATTCACATCAAATAGGTAGACATGAATATGGAAGGAATTTTATTTTAGCAATGGCACTCAATTCTTTGAATGTCTTCCGAATTAGTCTTCCCCTAATTTTGTTGAAGGCAAAAGATCTGGAAACCACTAGACTTGTAAAAGGAATTTTAGACGTTCACTTTTTCAACACCAATTCCAATATTTCAAACTGTACCTTTCTTTGCTGCCCCAGAGGTTTTTACACTCTAGACTAATATATCAGGTCTGTCCTTTTTTGTTGTTGTTGAAGAGCAACTGTGAAAGGAGAGGTGGGAAGGAAAGCCAACATACCTTAGGCATGGTGTCAGGCAGAACAATTTTAGGTGGGGGTGGAGGGGTATGGTGGTGGCTTATTTAGGATCTGGAAACTGGTTTCTTTAAAACTATCCATGCCCTCCTTTCCTCCCCACCTCCTAGTAGTATAGGTGGAAGGTAGCTGCTATAACTCATGCTGGGATTTTATGAGAACACAGAAAACTTTCTTTTCCTACTTACCATTGGTTCATCTGTGTTCTTTTGGAACTGGACCAGGCGAACTCTGGTCACGTTCTCCATATCCATGTCTCCATTTGCGCTTTCTGGAGAATCACCATTTAAATAGGGAGAGGTGGGAGGAGGTGTAACCCTCAATGCTTCATCACTGTAAACTTCATGTGCCACTACATCGTGAGTCTGAAGTAAGGCCTGATATTTTACAAAGGAAATAAAATATTAATAATAGAACTATTCCAGCAGAAGTCTATTATATAAACATATATAAAATTATTCTTTGCCTCTCAAAGGTATCTCTCATCTAAAGAGAACTCAAAGCACATTACACCTAGATATAGCCATGCCATAATTTCTTTGTGATAAATAATCATGATAGATGGATTTTTAAAAATGAAGGAACAAATGAAAGAATGAGTGAGCTAATCAATGAATGGATGTGTTTGTTGACTATCTGGGTAAGAGGTGTTTGATGCTATGAAAAAGTGCCCAACTAGCTTGTTCAATTGAAGTCTGACATAATGCAATTTCAAATAATTTAGCAGAAAGAATCATTTGTACATAGAGCTGGCAAATTTGTGCTGGGGCTTAAAATGGAAACAAATTTAAAAAGAAACAGTGCAATAATTGGTGCATTGAGCAAACAAACGTCTTTCATCAATGGTATTAACAATAACTCTGCTATATAACGCAAAGGGTAATTTATAACATACATCTCAGTAAAAGAAATAAAAACACACACAAATGTACCTGCAGAAACGTAATTTCCCAAAATATCACATGATATGGAGCTTAAAATCTAAACCTATTTAATGTTTTTGTTCATTTCTACTTTTTGGAGCACTTGAATAAATAAAAAGTAAGTTGACAGTTATTATTATGACTTCTTTTTGCAAAGCCCATTAACAAAGAAAAAGTGATTTCTTTGTATTGAGATCTCCATATGTCATCTTGGTGAAACTGGGTAATAAATATCCCTTGTTTCCCTAAAAGAGGCTATTCTTCCATTTACTGTATATTTTCTGCCATCATAAGAAAGTTTTTAATAAGCATGAATATTTGAACATTTCTACTTCAAAGAGAATTTTACAGCTAAGTATCAGTATGTTTGGTGCTTTATGCATTATATTTTCTTATATTTTCTTATAGTTACAGTACTAACTATAAATTCAGTTTTATTTTAATCTGTGATCTGTCTGGTAATGAAATATCTAGAGATAATGAAACATAATTAAAATCACCTTAAAAGTATAGCTTGTAGCATCTCAAATTAAGTTATTTAATTAAAAGATTTACCAAAGTCATGACTTAGCTATTTTAGGTACTTTAAAGGTACGCATACGACGCAAAAATAAGGTAACAATGTGGTAAAATCATAAAGAAGTGATGTTGATCAGACATCAATAGAGCATATGCTTGGAGTAATATACCCATTTTTTAAAAAGCATCTTTATTGGAGTATAGTTGCTTTACAATGTTTTGAATTTGTAATGGAAATGCCGGATGTTTCCAAGATCTCAGAGGGCTGGTCTAAACTGGGGTCTAGATGAGGGGCACTGAAGGGCACTAAGCAGCACAGCTTGAAAGCAGGGCTCCACAATGGTCCTGGGGACCTTGGCTTCCTGACCAGTGCCCTGACTACACCCTGCACTAGTACCCCAGGCCAAAGTGGTGGTGGTTATGGTATGTGGGGAAATCCCTCTTTTTCCTGTTTAACTGTAGCCACTTAAGAGACTAAGATTTAGGGCAGAAAGTAAAAATCAATAATAGACAAACTGAAAAACTTCATCTGTTAAAATTAGGTTCATTGTATTAATTATAGATGTGTCTTCTATAAACAGTGAATTTTAAAACAATTTTAAAAAAAACATGCTTTGTATGACTGGAGGATATATACCCAGGTAAACAGAGAACCAAGCTTCATTAGGATAATGCCAGTTACATGGGTTGGAGAAAGTGTTTGTACTGCTTTTTGCAAATGATTTCTCTCCATCCTTTTAAATTACATAAGCAAACACTTGTATTTAATGTATTATTTATAAGGAAGGATAAGCCCACAATCACAAAAATAATACCAAAATTGAACTTTAAGAGAAAAATCCTTAAATTTTATCACCAAATGAGGTCATACTTGATATTAACCGCTATTTGCCACTGGAAAAGACTGCTACCACAAAATGAAACTTAATCCAATGCATATGCAAACAGAAAAAAAGGGGTCACTTACAGATTGTTAAAAAAAAGGCCATTAAAAGAGTATGCCAAATAAAAAATAAGGAAATCAGAGTTTGAATATTTTTCTTCAAGTATGTCATGAGGTATGATTCAGCAATTGTTCCTAAGCTGAAACAGCTATTATTTTTAATTACATAAGAAGAATCATTACATATTACATATGGAAGTAATAGGAAATACTTCCATATGTATGTAAAAAGGACGTGGACAAGACAACTAAGAACTTCAGACCAAAGTGGGAAAAATTCATTTAAAATTTATAGGAAAGGGACTTCCCTGGTGGTGTAGTGGTTGAGAATCCGCCTGCCAAGGTCGGGGACAAGGGTTCGATTCCTGGTCCGGGAGGATCCCACATGCCACGGAGCAACTAAGCCCGTGCGCCACAACTACTGAGCCTGAGCTCTAGAGCCTGCACCCCACAACTACTGAGCCTGCGTGCTACAGCTACTGAAGCCCATGTGCCTAGAGCCCGTGCTTTGCCACTGCAGTGCCACTGCAGTGCCACTGCAGTGAGAAGCCCTTGCACCGCAACGAAGAGTAGCCCCCGCTTGCCGCAACTAGAGAAAGCCCGTGCGCAGCAACGAAGACACAATGCAGCCAAAAAAAACAAAAACCAAAAAATAAAATGTATAGGAAAAAATACGAATTTTAGGTTTGAAAGTGGTTCCTCTGGCTTCTGAATTACAACTACAAGTCATAAAATTAATCACTTAATAATGAAGCTTTCATATCAACCTAAGGCGATTTTTAACCATCTTGTTATTTGGGAAAGTAGGATACAAATTTGCTTTTAAAAAATAGGATCTAGAACAGAAAATTTTAGAGGAAAAAGTTAAAGCACTGACATTCTATTCTGTTTATATTGTCTTTACCCTTAATGTTTTATATTTTACAACTGCAATAAGCAAAGGATCTGTTCTTTTTTTAAAAATAAGTCTTTCAAATGGAGTAACTGAAGGATAGTGTAATAATATTTTTTATCATGACCTCTAGAGTACACATTAAAAAAAATTAAATCTACACTGTTTTACTCTTAATTACTGTAAATATTTATAAGTATCTGTATTTTTAAGTATAAGGTAATCCAATATTAAATCCTCATTTTAATGATCAGAAAGCAAAGAAAAAGATAATTGAAGAAATAAGTATAAAATTATAAATATGCTAAGAATAACTCCCAAACCTTGGTATAATAAAAATTATAAGCATTAAAATATTTTCCTTTAGCTATTAATATTTCTTTAAAAATACCAGATTTTGAAACCATGATCTTTCTTTAAAAATTTTTTTTTTTTTTTTTTTTACTGGAGTATAATTGCTTTCCAATGTTGTATTAGTTTCTGCTGTACAGTGAAGTGAATCAGCTATATGTATACATATATCCCCTCCCTCTTGGACCTCCCTCCCCACCAATCCCACCCATCTAGGTCGTCACAGAGCATGGAGCTGAACTTCCTGGGCTTTATAGCACGTTCCCACTAGCTATCTATTTTACGCATGGTAGTGTATATATGTCAATCCTAATCTCCCAATTCATCTCACCCTCTCCTTCCCCCACTGTGTCCACATGATCTTAAAATGCTTATAAGATAGAAACCTCCAGCATTTAAAAGTTTAACACAGTATATATAGCTTGGAATTATATTTGCCACATGGGACATTATCCAAACATATGCTTATTTGGGAATGACCAATGAGTTCAAATTAAGTTTGTAGGAAAATCGATACTCATTACAAGTCAACCCACATTTAAGAGCACAGGCTTTGGAGCCAGTAAGATCTGGGTTTTGAACCTCAATGAGGCCACTTACTAGGTGGGTGACCTAAAGCAAGCCCCTTTGCCTTTCTAAGGTGTGGTTTCCTCTCTGAACTGTAAAATGGAGTTAATCACATCACTTCACATCCCAGCCATCAGCAAGTCCTGTCATGTCTAACCATCTCTAAAGTAGAATCCCAATTTGCTCATTTTCCACCAGCCCCGTCCTTCTTCAAGCCTCTACCACCTCACAACAGCCTCCTAATTGGTCTCCCTTTTTAAACTCTTAACCCCACTATAGTCCATTCTCTACACAACAACCCCAGCAATCTCTAAAGCACAGTTCTAACAATATTTTCCTGCTTGCAATCACTCAGTGTCATCCTACTGCAATCAGGAGAAAATCCAGACTCCTTACCATGGTCTGGAAGGCCCTATGTGGTCTGGCCTCTGCCACCCTCTCCAGCTCTTCTTGTACCACCCTCTCCCTTGTTTACTATATCCCAGCCACAATGGCCTTACTTCTGTACTTTGACCCTACAAAACTCTTTCCTGCCTCTGGGCCTTTGCATTTGCTCTTCCCCATGCTTGGACATTCAGAAAGTTTGTTCTTTCATATAACAAGTCTCAGCCCACATGTTGGCTCCTCAGAGGGGCTTTCCCCTGACTATCTGAAGTAGCTTCCACTTTACTATCATCTCTGCCCCATTATCCTTTTGTTTTTCATAGTTATTATCACTATATGAAGTTATATTGTTTGTTTTACTTGCTCACTGTCTGTCTCTAGCTCACCTATCCACGTCTCACCTAGAATGGAAGTTCGTTTGTCCTATTCACCACTATCCTTAGTGCCCAGCACAGTGCCTGGCATATAGTAGGCATTTACATATTTGATGAGTAAATGAAAATGTCTTTTAAGTACCTAGCTGGGTGTTCAGAAATTACAAGAACTATTTATTATTTCTGAAAATGTTTACTAATAGCAGTGCACATATTAATTTCTCTCTGATGTCAGGAAAGCAAAATAAACCAAGGCTTTGAAGGTAGGTAAGTTGTGAGAGATGGGGCTGTCTGAGCTTTAATGGTTTTGAAAAAAACCTTAACCTTAAAAAAAGGATTTTATTTGGGTGTATATTAATTTATTTAGCTTACTTCAAATCTGAAAGATCTATTGGTATCAAATGGTCCTACATCATTCTCAGAATTGAGCTGAGGTTACTTATCAGTTTATAGACAGACATGTCTGTCCAAAACATACAGGCTTCTATCTACGGAAAACACACTGCACAGAACAGTCAGTTGAGGTGGGGCTAACCTACCTGCAAACGGGCAAGTTCCTAATCTACTCAGTGTTTTACTGAGAACTTACTATGTGCCCTACACATGACAGATACTATGGAGTAACTAATAATATTCATTAGCTAACATTTATTAGGCATCAAGCATATATCAGGCACTGTGCTAAGCACAGCAGATGTATCATCTACTTAATTCTTTTTTTTTTTAACATCTTTATTGGGGTATAATTGCTTTACAATGGTGTGTTAGTTTCTGCTTTATAACAAAGTGAATCAGTTATACATATACATATGTTCCCATATGTCTTCCCTCTTGCGTCTCCCTCCCTTCCACCCTCCCTATCATCTACTTAATTCTTATTCCAACTCCATGAGGCTGGCAAACAGCATCTTTACAACTATGACACAAAGTAAACAACAACAAAAAGTTTTAGTGCATCTGGTATTATCTGGCATTGTAATCTTAACCATCTGATATTATACGGCTAAAAGCACATTTGATGAAGATAGCTGTATTTCATAAGGATTAGTAAAAACTTCTTTTGAAAGTGAGGTTTTATTTCTATGGAAGTTTAATTGTTACTTACCATGAAATGAGGTTGTGTTAAAATACGCTTTAGTTCCTTTGCATCGTTATTCTCAGGGTAACATGAAATTTCTTCCAATACCTAAAAAATAAGCAAGATATTCAATAGTATAATGAGGATGCTAGATTTAGAAAATATAGAATTCTTTTAAATTAAAAATTATGAATGGATTTGTATGGCAGGCAAAATAATTATTTTGGGAAAAAATTCATCATTTTATTCAAAGGTTATTAATATATAAAACAGCTACATTTGTGGTAATAAAAAATAAAACAAATTGCTGTAATAGTCTCTGCCTTCATTACCCAACTATAACTCAAAAGATTACTGAAAAATACAAAACAAAATGACAAGTCTGTAGTACATATTTATTACAGGTATAAGTAACTTAATTAAACTTAATGGGAAAATAATCTCTGCAAATCTTTTTCCAAACTCACCATCAAGATGAATCTGTAATAAAAGTTGGTAACAGCTTTCTTTCATATTAACAAGACTGTCAGTTCCTTTCAGAAAGATTAAAATGACAAAGGCTCAAATAAAAACAATTTAAAGAAGAGAAAACACTTGAGTACTTTTCCTTGTAGCCTGAGAGAATCAATGTGATTCTCCACACTCATCTCCTCACATTCACCACATCTCGGCAATGGTTCCTAGAATTAATTGCCAGGGAACCCAAGAGAATAATTTAAAAATAAGACACACAATCAAAAACTTTTCTCTTTTCACTCACATTTTCTTCACGAATTAGTTGTTAACATTTTCTCTATATAGGTTTAAACGGTTGTTTTCAAATGAAATTGTTCTTCAAAAGTTATCCCTTACCACTAGGATGGAGTTTACCCATTTAAAATTTGATTATGTGACATGAGCCCAGGGGAAGGCTTCTGTTCCTTTTCAGAGTAAACATACTACTACAGTTCCAAGTGTACATAGTTGGACTCAGAGTGGTTATACACATTGCTCTCAATCCTAAAAATTGAGCCAATCGAGGATTGCTTCAGCAGGATTGGATGTCAGGGGTACACAAGTCATGTACCGAGTAGGAATCTCTTGACTTGCCTTTGAGAATCTTAATACTGGCCAGGAAGGAATGTTTTGAGGTCACTTAGCCTAAGGCTTAGATCTCAGCCAGTGCTACTCAACCACCTCCTCAGAGAAGAACAAACAAACAAACAAAAACTATAAGGTTTCCTTCTTATCTAAATGTACTCCTGTAAAACAACTATACCCCAATTAGAAAAATGTACTCTTAACAAGTGCTGGTTATGCTGTTAATTCATATTGTTTAATGATGATAAGCCAATTCTCCTTTGGTGTATTTTCTGCTTTGAGTTTCTAAACCAGTGAAACAAAAGATGAAACAATATACTCTCTCTGGTCCCCTGCTACTCTCACAGCCTATGATTTTAAACACTGAGGTGTGGTCCCTAATGCAGACAGAACCTCTCCTGACTGCTGCCCTGACCAGGTGGGCAGGCCTAGCGGCTTCCACAACCTTGGACTTGGTTCTCAGTGAATATATGTTTTCCAGTACAGGTCTTGTGTTTAAAATCTGATAGGGAAGGAATTATGTCTTTCATATTCTTTCACTTAGTAATTTTACTTTATAAAATATTTTTCTGGGCTTCGCTGGTGGCTCAGTGGTTAAGAATCCATCTGCCAATGCAGGGAACACAGGTTCGAGCCCTGGGCCAGGAAGACACCACATGCCGTGAAGCAACTAAGCTCGTGCGCTACAACTACTGAGCCTGCACTCTAGAGCCTGCGAGCCACAACTACTGAAGCCTGCGAGCCACAACTACTGAAGCCCACAAGCCACAACTACTGAAGCTCATCTGCCTACAGCCCATGCTCCGCAACAAGAGAAGCCACTGCAATGAGAAGCCCGCGCACTGCAACGAAGAGTAGCCCCCGCTCACCGCAACTAGAGAAAGCCCGCACAGCAACGAAGACCCAACACAGCCAAAAATAAATAAATGAATAAATAAATAAAAATAAAATATCTTTTCAAAGGAAAATATTTATTTGTATAAAGACTTTTATGATATCAAAAAGTGATTAAAAAAACCCACTAGGTATCTAACAGTGGAGGCATTTATAATTCATTATAATTTAGTAACAGCAGAGAAAAATTATGCCATCATGAGAACTTATTTACGAAGACCTAGCAGAAACATGGAAAAATGCTTATTATATTAGGTTAGGTTAAAAGAAAGATATATTTTGATTGTAACACATAAAAATTTATATGTAAATGGATAGTGATTAGAAAAGGATATGCAAAAATGAAAATTACTATGTTAGGGTGATGGGATTATAGATGACTTTTTACTTTCCAAACTTTCTGCAGTGTGATGTTTCTATAATAAAAAAGTTAAAATTTTGTGAAAGATGTACACTAACCAGTAATTTATAAAAATGACTTCTCTCTGAACTTAGCTGTTATAAACATTCAATTAACTTTCAAAAATTACCACCTTAAAAAAGCAACTCAAACTTTCATAGCATGTCGATTTCCACCAAGAGTGGTAAAATAACTTTTTCTTTTTTTTAAAAAAGAGAAGTAAAATTGTTCAAGTTTACATACCAGAACTAGAAATCTAGGCAATGTTGCTGCCGAGATTTTTTTTTCTTTTCTGTATGTAAATGCTCAGTGATAAACTTAGAAATACTAAATCTGAGTATAATGGTCTAACTGTGACTTCAGGGAAGCTGCCTCTTACTGTGCAGCAGAAACGTTTTCATACCAAATATGACACCCAAATACATTGACAAAATATATATCGCTTACCTCTTTGGCTCTCTGTACTGCATCACTCGGAGGATTCCTGATTTGCGGTGAAGATTTTGTGTTAATTTTGTCATATAGCTAAAAGCAAAGGAGAAAATCCAATCAACATGCATAATTCTTTGATAAATTCAGAGCTTCATATTTATTATTTCACTAAACAATATTTTCCCCTTAAAGAGGCAGGCTGATGATTTTAGTGGGATCTTCTTGTTAATGTCTTATTCATTCAAATGAAACTTGTTGGGATGAGTGCTATGCGTATCTTTTTAAAAATCATCAATATTTCAGTAATCACAGAATTTTTTCCCTCTGATAGAAGCAACATTTAATAAGATGAATACAGAGTAAAATGAAAGAATGCTTTCTGGCCAAGACACATCTGAAGGAATTTTCACAGCAATCTAAATCTTGGGAGAGGGTAAACCCAACTCCTTCTAGGAAGGAATGCTCTCACGAAAGGTTTATACTTGTTTTACTAGGGCTGTTCATTAATAGTATCAGTGCTGGCATCCTTCAGCAAGAAATCAAGGACATAAACCTTTTTCCTTTTTAATTTGTAAATTCACAGAGTATGGGAAGAAGCTGAAAAGAGTCTATACTTTAAAAACTCCGCAAATCTAAATGATCCAAAATTTAACTTTCTGAAGAAAATTCTTTAGAGAAAAATCTCTGTAGTGTAGAAGTGCAATTAAAGTATTAATTTCTACTTCAGACAAAACATCTCATTCAGCAGTCTGCTTTGAAAAGTGAAAAGTTTAAAATGGTCTTGGCTAGCCAGCCACTTCTATTTCCTAACTTCTCTAAAATAGGTGGGGGGTTTTGGGGGTTGGTTTTGGTTCTGTTCTTTTTTCCTTCCCTACTATGCCCAGCAGTGCTAGTGGAGAGGTCACATACCATAATATTCTTCAGATTACAGTTACACTTGTTTATACTGATGCAGAATAAAGCTTTACGACTTGTAAATGTTTGGGCCACACCATACATAAAAATTCCTAGTGATTAATAGGCAGACAAATAAATAAATAAAGCCTAATGATAGCAATGTGAAGATAGAGCAGTGACCATTTTAAAATGGCGGCATTAAGAAAGTACTACTAAATTAGAGGTTAAATAAATAGTATAAGTAGGCTAGTAAAATTCGCTCTATTTAAAATATTATATTAACACTTAGGGAACTAGTGATATGTGGCTTGTTTATAAAAGTTTGCTCGAATCCCTGTAGAATACACATGGGCAGTCTCCATCCTCTGAATGACTTCCATCTCTAAAGATTGTAAATTTTGACATTTGGAACCACCGAATATATTTTTCCATAGAAATAATGGTATATGCAGTGTAGGTTCCCAGACTAGTCTATAGAGATAAATGAAATACTGTACACATGCAATAAAAAGTAGGAGGGGGAAAAACCCAACCCCCCAAAAGTAAGGAATCATAAGTTAAAAAAACACAATTAAAATACCTAACACTTAAAAAATAGATATAGCCATCACCTGACATGTCATAATATTAATAATCAAACAAAATAAAAAACCTACATGGATAATTAAAAAGATTTTTAAAACTCTGAAATGCTGTTTGGGAAAAAGAAAGCAAATTTAATTTGAGGCTTTACAAGTTGACGGCACTATCATTTATAATGTCTTTATAATGCCTAATTTCACCACAAAAAGTTTTGCCTTTTTCTTGAACAAGGACTATTACTAATGCTACTTTCAAAATTTTCAACCATGATTAGGATTAGCTTCTATTTAAACATTTAATAAATGCACATTAGTTTTAACTCACAAAGCAACAAAAATTCCAAGCTCCCAGAATTGCTCTCACTCTATTACTAGAGACCTTTTATTTTTGGCTTGGTCTTATGATGCCAAGTACGGTTCCCTAGGTCTTATATCAGTGTGGTTTCTTGAGGACTTGTAGCAGAATCAGCTGGAGTAGTTACTTAAATGTACAGATTTCTGGGCCCCACTGCAGATCTACTGAATCAGAATTTGAAATGGGGATCCAGAAATCTGTGCTTTAATAAACTCCTTAGATATTTGTAAATCTTATGCCCAGTACCAACTTTTGAGAATAGTTGTAGTAGTACAAATACTAACAACAATGATAATTGTTACTTTTATTGAGCACTTAGTGGATGCTAGTTACTAGTCAGAGTTCTTAATATATATTCCCTCATTTAACCTCAGACAACCTTGTAATGTTGATATCCCTACTACTCCCACTTTACAGATGAGGAAACTAAGGCAGGGAGTAGCAAAGTGAGAACTAACGTTCTAGCTTTACAACAACTTCACAGGTGGCATGCAGATAAGGCCCTGATCCAAGGAAAGTGCTCAGACCAAATTTCCCTCTGCTCCTTTGGTTTTGCCCGATCCAACTAATCACACATTCACCCAAAGTTCAGTGGAACTAGTGGTGGGATGAGGGGGAGGTGAGATGCTTAATATGAAAGGCAGATACAGTAGGAAGGAATTAAATGAAGGGACCTTCTACTTGAGGTGGGGACACTGGGCTCTGCCCCTCCAACTCCTAGGAAAGTGCAGGACTGGAGCGGTCAAGGCAGGCATTGGATGGAGTGGATGGTGTCCATGTGGTTAAGAATAGATGGTGAATTTCAACTGCCTGCTCATTAACCAAAAGAGTAATTAAGAACTGAGGCAGGAAGGGACAGGGAAGGGGCTTACTTTCACCATCAGTGGGAAGAAGTGACCCCTTGTTGACCCATATATCCATCTAATATTTACTGAGGTCCTACCATGTACTAGGCAGTGGGTTCTATTCACTGCGGTTATGGAGAGGAAAAAGATGATAGTTGCTATGCTCAAAGAAGTCACAAATTCCAAAGACATGTATAACCAAAGGCCCAGGAACATATGCCAGCTTGATCCCCCTGAGGACCTGAGAGTACTTTGGTCCCCAGCAATATCAACTAGGAAATATCTCAGTGAGCAGTCCCAAGTTGGGGACTATCTGGATGTGTATCCATGACATGCCAACCTTCATTCCCCTGCCCCCTATTTCTGTGACTCTATCTTTGCCTTAGGGATTCAAAATATTTTAGGGATACCCATAACAAATACAAACTGTTTGAGAGATATGGCAAAGTATGTAAGTAAAAAGTCATCAACAGAGGAAATTTTGAATGCAATGTAACGTTTAATTGTTTTAAAACAGTCGTCAGGAGTATGCAGCTTTTCAACTTCTCATTCTTATGGGTCATCTTCATATTCTATGCTGCCTAGGAGATGCTATTCAGGACTCAAAGTTCAAATTCAGGTGGAGTTTTCCCAAGGTCTGGAGGCAAGTGAGAGGTGGTTGAGTTTTGAGAACAAAGGAAGGCTGCAGTTTCTCCTCCTTTACCACCGTTTATTGCCCGTCCCCCTTCTATCATATACAAAGAATTATTAGAATGATGTGACTTTGGGACTTGGCCTGCTGTCTTGGACTTTCAGCTAAAGCCCAGAGCTAAGGCCAATAGGAAGTAAGTGGTCTGCTAGGAAGCTGCCAGACCATCCTTCCAGGGCTTGCTGAAAGGTAGCTAAAATGGTCCTTCCATGCTCACCCTAGCACCCCATTCTGCCTATAGTGACAGATGCTTGGAATCTGTAGAAGCTAAAGGACTGAGGCAAGGAAGCATCTGATTTTCCCTTCTCCTTCCTGTTGGGGAGGAAAGGAAAGGGAGTTGCTTCTTCCCTCATGCAAAGTGAAGGATGGTAGATGCTCCAAAAGACCCATGTACACAAAGCAGAGGTGCCAGCAAGGAGAGCTCACTGTCTCATGCTCTGCAGGGATGCTTGCTGAGTTGCAGCAATTTACAAGGTCCATCTTGGTGCACCCAGAAGAGCGCTGTGTGAGAGTCTTCGGAGTGGCTTGACATGTGGCGTTTGGGGTCTCAAGTGAAAAGAGCCTCTTTCCTGGTTGATGGCAGGGTGGGAGGCCAACAGCAGGGCAGCCCACACTTGGAGTGTATTTTATGGCAAGACTGTGTGTTTCCCATGAGTCAAGGAGCTGCCTCAGAATGTAACCTGGCTGGAGCCATCTTGGCGGAACCCTGACCAAGAGGGTTGTCTGCACAGAGCAAGGGGACCCAGGAGTGGCCGTGGGGTCACAGCTGAAGGCAGGAGCTGAGAGTGCTGCTGAGGCCAGCTGCAGAGTACATGATGATGCAGGAGCAACCCAGGACAGAGACAACATCTGGATACCTGCCACACCCCGGGCATTAACAGCACTGGGCACTGGCTGCCTGAGGGACACGAGTACAGAACATGCTGTTTAAGTGGTTCTTTCTCTTTTCCATGATCAGACTCTTGAGTCCTTTGACATTCAGTAACGGCACGTAGCATGAGGCTGAGTACATAGTAGATGTTTAATAAATGTTTCTTAAAAAAAATGAGTATTTAAATGGTACACAGGAACTGTAAATAGATATATTTTTTAAAAATCAGAGTAATATAAAAATAAACAGAGTAGGAATACTTATTTTACCTTGTTTCTTTAGGAACCAGGTTTCACAGTATCTTCTGTCCTGCTTGCACAGTTAAAAACTTTCCCTCAAAATTAATAAATACAGTTTGACCACATTTAATTCTTTTTTCCCCTATGTTTCAAGTCTGACTTCAAAAAATTTTCAAGGTAAAAGAGATCTTAGATATCAACATGATTCAATTCCTCCACTTTAAGAAGGAGAGAGCTGATGACCAGTGACATGAAGGGATGCACTCGGGGTCCTGCAGCCAGAGTAGGAGGGACTAGACTGGCTTCCTGATACGTGCTGTCCTTTCTCTCATACCAGAGTACCTTGGCTTGTATTAGAATTCAGTAACATGGTCTCATGCCAGGGATACACCTTCAGCAAATATTCGGGAAAAGAACTGTAGAAAATGCCATTTATAGGCTGTAGGGAAAAAAACTAACTAAATGTGATTTAAAAAAAAATAAATGAATTTATTTATTTTTGGCTGCGTTGGGCCTCCATTGCTGTGCATGGGCTTTTCTCTAGTTGTGGCGAGCAGGGGCTACTCCGTTGCGGTGTGCGGGCTTCTCACTGCAGTGGCTTCTCTGGTTGCGGAGCA